GGGTCTTTGCCTGGTTTTGGTATTAGGGTGATGTTGGCTTCATAGAATGAGTTTGGGAGTATTCCCTCCTCTTCTATTTTTTGGAAAACTTTAAGGAGAATGGGTGTTATGTCTTCTCTGTATGTCTGATAAAATTCTGAGGTAAATCCATCTGGCCTGGGGGTTTTGTTCTTTGTTAGTGTTTTGATTACTGCTTCAATTTCTTTGCTCATAACTGGTTTGTTTAAATTTTGTGTTTCTTAGCTGGTCAGTCTTGGAAGGCTGTATTTTTCTAAGAAGGTGTCCATTTCTTCTAGGTTTTCCAGCTTGTTAGCATGTAGGTTTTCACAGTACTCTGTAATAATTCTTTGTATTTCTGTGGAGTCTGTCATGATGTTTGCTTTCTTGTTTCTGAATCTGTTGATGTGTGTTGATTCTCTTTTTCTCTTAACAATTCTAGCTAGAGGCTTATGTATTTTGTTTATTTTCTCAAAGAACCAGCTCTTGGTTTCATTAATTTTTTCTATTGTTTTATTCTTCTCAATTTTGTTTATTTATTCTCTGCTCTTTATTATATCCCTCCTTCTGCTGACTTTAGGCCTCATTTGTTCTTCTTTTTCCAGTTTCGATAGTTGTGATGTTAGACTATTCATTTGGGATTGTTCTTTCTTCCTTCTTTAAGTATGCCTGGATTGCTATATACTTTCCTCTTAAGACTGCTTTTACTGTGTCCCACAGAAGTTGGGTCTTTGTATTGTTTTGATTTGTTTCCATACATTCTTTGATCTCTATTTTAATTTGTTTGTTGATCCATTGATTATTTAGGAGCATGCTGTTAAGCCTCCATGTGTTTGTGAGCCTTTTTGTTTTCTTTACACAATTTATTTCTAGTTTTATTCCTTTGTGGTCTGAAAAGTTGGCTGGTAGAATTTCAATCTTTTGGAATTTACCGAGGCTTTTTTTGTGGCCTAGTATGTGGTCTATTCTGGAGAATGTTCCATGCGCAGTTGAGAAGAATGTGTATCCTGTTGCTTTTGAATGTAGAATTCTATAGATGTCTTTTAGGTCCATCTGTTCGAGTGTGTTGTTCAGTGCCTCCGTGACCTTACTTATTTTCTGTCCGGTGGATCTATCCTTTGGAGTGAGTGGCATGTTGAAGTCTCCTAAAATGAATGCATTGCATTCTATTTCCTCCTTTAGTTCTGTTAGTATTGGTTTCATATATGCTGGTGCTCCTGTGTTGGGTGCATATATATTTATAATGGTTATATCCTCTTGTTGGACTGAGCCCTTTATCATTATGTAATGTCCTTCTTTATCTCTTGTTACTTTCTTTGTTTTGAAGTCTATTTTGTCTGATACTAGTACTGCAACACCTGCTTTCTTCTCGCTGTTGTTTGCCTGAAATATGTTTTTCCATCCCTTGACTTTTAGTCTGTACATGTCTTTGGGTTTGAGGTGAGTTTCTTGTAAGCAGAATATAGATGGGTCTTGCTTTTTTTAATCCATTCTATTACTCTGTGTCTTTTGATCGGTGCATTCAGTCCATTTACATTTGGGTTGATTATTGAAAGATATGTACTTATTGCCATTGCAAGCTTTAGATTCGTGGTTACCAAAGGTTCAAGGGTAGCTTCTTTAGTATCTTACTGTCTAACTTAACTCACTTATTGAGCTTTTATGAACACTGTCTGGTGATTCTTTATTTCTCTCCCTTCTTATTCCTCCTCCTCCATTCTTTATATGTTGGTTTTTTTATTCTGTGCTCTTTTGTGTTTCCTTTAACTGCTTTTGTGGGTACTCGATTTTATTTTTTGCCTTTAGTTAGTATTCAGTTGGTCTGCTTTCTTTGCTGTGATTTTATTTTCTCTGGTGACTTCTATTTAGTCTTAGGAGTGCTCCCATCTAGAGCAGTCCCTCTAAAATACCCTGTAGAGGTGGTTTGTGGGAGGCAAATTCCCGCAAGTTTTGTTTGTCTGGGAATTGTTTAATCCCTCCTTCATATTTAAATGATAATCATGCTGAACACAGTGTTCTTGGTTCAAGGCCCTTCTGTTTCATTGCATTAAATATATCATGCCATTCTCTTCTGGCCTGTAAGATTTTTGTTGAGAAGTCTGATGATAGCCTGATGGGTTTTCCTCTGTAGGTGACCTTTTTCCTCTATCTAGCTGCCTTTAAAACTCGGTCCTTGTCCTTGGTCTTTGCCATTTTAATTATTATGTTTCTTGGTGCTGTCCTCCTTGGGTCCTTTCTGTTGGGAGTTCTGTACACTTCCATGGTCTGATCGATTATTTCCTCCCCCAGTGTGGGGATATTTTCCGGCATTATTTCTTCAAAGACAGTTTCTATCCCTTTTTTTCTCTCTTCTTCTTCTGGTACCCCTATAATGCAGATATTGTTTCTTTTGGATTGGTCACACAGTTCTCTTAATATTGTTTCATTCCTGGAGATCCTTTTATCTCTCTCTGCGTCAGCTTCTATGTGTTCCTGATCTCTGGTTTCTATTCTATCAATGGCCTCTTGCATCTTATCCATTCTGCTTATAAATCCTTCCAGAGATTATTTCATTTCTATAATGTCCTTCTGGACGTCATCCCTTAGCTCTTGCATATTTCTCTGCAGCTCTGTCAGCATGGTTATGACCTTTATTTTGAATTCTTTTTCAGGAAGATTGGTTAGGTCTATCTCCTTCTCAGGGGTTGACTCTGTGATTTTGGTCTGTATCAAATTCTTCTGCCTTTTCATGGTGATAGAGGTAGTTGTGTGGAGCTGGCACATGTGTCACCTGGGAGAACGTCCCTTCTTGCTGGTTTGTGGCCTTCCTCTCCTGGGAGAGCAGTGGCCTCTAGTGGCTTGTGGTGAGCAGCCCCTTCGCGAGGCACTGGATTCTCGCAGGTGTAGATGTAGTCTGGCTGTTGTCCTGTGTCTTATGGCCTCTCTTTTAGGAATAGTTGTATTTGTTGTATTTTCAAAAATATATATGGTTTTGTGAAGAGATTTGTGCTGCTCTGCTCATGTCGCCATCTTGGCTCTGCCATCACGGTGCTGCAGAGTCTGCTACTTTCTGCGCTGATGCCTGGGGCCATCGCCTTCTCCTCCTCGCATCTGTCAGAAGGCTCCAGGCAGATCCTCTGCCTCTCACCGCCCCATGCCTGGCTTACGACCCTCGTGGCTTTACCCAGGGTTGGAGTAATCTTAAGGTCATCGTGTCCAATGAGACTGAATCCTTCACTTTATCTCTGTATTAGTCTGTTCAGGCTGCCATAACAAAATGTCATTGTCTTGTCTTGTAAGGAAAAACATTGACTTAGTTCATTTTAAAAGTCACAAGCTATTCTCTTGATGTTATAATATAAAAATCAAGAAAAAAGCCCATAGATAAGGTAGTTCAACTACTATACCAACAGATATTCTACATGGATTCCAAGATATAATTAATGTGTCCACTTCTGTAATATAAAAAGGTCTAAATTTACAATTTGGAGATGCAAAACTAATTTTTAATTCATGTCTATGATGAGTATGTACTTTTAAATATACAGGTAGTGTGGAAGAAAAGAGAAAGTAATGTTGTAAATTTAATTGCTGTGCACATACTTGCCAAAAAAGAAAGGCTGTTTCTAAAAAGACAAGTCTATGATCATATGTGTGTACAAGACAATTTTCATTAAATCTTATAATGTTATTTGCTATACACAAAATATTTAAGATGAATTTTGTAATGTCACAGGTTTGCTTACAGAAATCCAATGCAAATCAAAGAGACTTCGAAAGAACTTTAAGCAGAAGAATAATTTTCAGTCTAACATCAAAGTGGAAGTAGAAGGAGTACACAAGCTTGTATCATCTACGACTAGATCTGGAAAAGTGGCAAGACTCTCCTTATAAAACTTCTTGTTTCTTTGATGATGTTTTTGTTTAATAAGTATGCTTTATAGTTTTCCCCCCCTATATTTTCTTATAGATCCAGAAGAGCATGGAATTAACTCAAGAGGAATATCAGCTTATTAATAATATTGTGGCTGCTCATCAAAAATATACAATTCCTTTAGAGGAAACAAAGAAATTTGTATGTGTTCATTACTGGCAAGAAATAATTTATAATTAATATTGTTAGAATATAAGAGCATTAACATAAAACATTTAAACAGTTATTTGAAATAAAAGAAAATCTATTAATTTTATTTTTTTTGTTGGTTAGCTGCAGGAATATGCAACTCCTGAACTGAGCTTTTTGCGACTCTCAGAGACAGTGGTCCTACACATACAGGGGTTAATGGATTTTACCAAGGGACTCCCAGGTAACCACTTTATCTTTGGAAAAAATCTGAAGTAATTTAATTAATTCCCTGTTTTAAAGGAAGTGGGTTTTTTTTGACAAAAAAGCCTCTACTTTTCCACCAAGGATGTTTCTAAATGTAAAAATATGTTTATTTTGCCTGCTTTGATCAATTAAATGGATGAAAATATATACATTTTAAAATATTCAAATGATTTCAAAGATTTAGAGTTAAGACAATATGATTGGTTGTATGTTTTACTTTATTTTCATTTTTTGGAAATAAATTGTTTTTGTTTTTATATAAACAAAGTTGCTTGTACAAGATGAAAAAACCAAGCTATGGTTAGCCAAAATTTAGCTATCTATTAACACGTACAGATTACTCGCTGTAAAAATAAATCCTTTGAGGCTAAATCAGCTCTATTAATTTGCTTTTGCCATAGGAAAGTATTATTATCCAGTTCTAATGAAAGTGCTTCAGAATAATACCTTGTGAAATCAAGAATTTTATTCAGATTTGAAGTAATGTAATGTGATTTCTAAGGAAACATTTATGATTCATATAATAACTAAATGAATAATCAAAAGTGTTAAATCCTATACTTGAAAATTATCTTTTCATTATTGATTTCAAACAATTGTGTGATCTTTTCTTAAAGGATTTGAAAGTTTGACTACTGAGGATCAGACTGCATTATGGAAGGGATCAAAAACTGAAGTTATGTTCCTTCACATGGCCCAACTTTACAGTCAGAAAGAATGTCTTTCCTCGGCTTCTGAAAGTAAAAAAGGCCAACTAACTTAATGTTAATGGTTATTATTAAATTTAGCAACAAATTTTATAACACTGAGTTTTTTAAAATTATATTTTAATTTTACTAGTTAGTGTAGGAACAAGTACTTCATAATAGCTTTTCCAATTCATTGGTTTAGATTTTGCTTTTCTTTTAAAGAAAGCCATTCTCTATTATATAACACCATGGACAACACATTTTTAGGTCTTTTACACAATCTTTATATAAAGTATGAACTATCTAGCTTCATGTTTCAGTAATAAAAATTATAAAGCCACTATTTGTTGGGAACATTTCCTGTCAAACAGAGATTAGACTGAATTTACTATCTGAATAAAGATTTTTTAAGGATTTACATTTCATATTTTTCCCTTTATTAGGTACTGAGAGAATATCAAATCATTTAGATCATTCACTGAATTGTCACAATCAGAGTGGTGATAGAAGTGTCATGTATTCTATGGAGACATTTTGTAATGAAGATTGTCCTACTACACTGACTGGTAATATCACATATACAAAATATTGTATTGGATGGAAAAAATTGGTCAGATATAATGTTAATTTTCCTATATTGCTTTGAGAAAAAGTAATAATGACAACATGTTTGATTCCACACTATGTTCTGATGAAAATATATTTGATATTAATCTTCTTAGGTATTGCTGAAGAATTTATTACCACACTGTTTTACTTCTACAGAAGAATGAGTGAGCTTAATATAACTAATACTGAATATGCTCTGCTTGCAGCAACAATTGTGTTTTTTTCAGGTAAAAACCATTAGGCAGTAAATTTGGATTAAGTTTGACAATGAAATCATGAAGTCTGTGGTTATTATATTATTCATTGTAGTTAAATACACCAATTTTGCTTCATCAAAATTACCTTCTCTATGAATATCCCCTTTCAGCTTATGAACACACTATAATTTCTTGTATCTTAAAAAAATGCCTTCTTGACATCAAAACCCCTTTCAGTTGTTCTCCCATTTCTCTGTTCTACTTTACAGAAAAAAAATTTTTTTTAGAGTTGCCTATACTCCTGCCTTCATTTCTCTCCTCTCATTTTCTCCTGAACCCACCACAGTCAGATTTTGCCCTCCTTTCCGCTCCACCTAACTTGTCAAGATCTTCAGTGATTTGGCATAGCTGATTCCAGTGGTCAACTCTTGCCTCATCATGGATGATCTATCAGCTGCATGTGGCAGAGCAGGTCTCTTCTCTGGACACTTTCATCCTTTGGTCTCAGTTGATCACTTCCTCCTTCTTGACATATTTTTTTCCTACTAGATTTCCTGGACATCACATTCTGGATTTTCCTCCACAGTAGCTGCTCTATTTCCTTTGTTAATTCTTCCTCATTTCCCACATTGATGAGTGGTACTGTCTCAGGGCTCAGTTCTCTTTTCTTCTACACTAATTTTCTTTGAGATTTCATTTTAGCTTATGGCTTTAAATGCCATCTATGTGCTGACAACTCCTAAGTTTATTTTACCACACTGTTCTCCTAAACTCCTTTAAATAGCCTACTCAAGTTTTCAACTTGGATGTCTAGGAAGTGTATCAAATTTAAAATGCCCAAAGGTGAACTTCTGATGTCCCCCAGGTCCTCCTATATTCTTCTGTCTATACTAAATGGCTTCTCCATCCTTTAAATTGCATAAGCCAAAATCTGTGAAGTCAGCCTTCACTTCTCTTATATCCATAACCAAATATGCAACATGTCCTGTTGGCTCTAGCCTCAAAATATATCCAGAGGGCAACTACTTCTCACTGGCTCTGTCCCTGCCACCCTAAGCCAAACTATTATCCTAACTTGCTTTCTTATTTCTGCCTTTGCCTGGAGTCTATTCTCTGTGCAGCAGCCAGTTATTCTTTGAAAAAATAAGCCAGATCATGTCATTCCTCTGTTCCTAACCCTTTAAATGGCTTCCTGTTTTATACAGATTAAGGCCAAAGTTCTTTCCATCACTACCTTTTGCTCTTACCACTACAGTTGCATTACTTTTGATGCATATGCCCCTTGAAAATTTCAAACAGGCTCCTTGCCACAGATTCTAATGTACTCAACAAATCTCCTCTTTGGAAAGCTCTTTCCCCAGATAGCTACATGGCTCCCTTTTTTACAATCTTAGATATCTCTAAATGTCATTTTGTCTCTGATTCCCATTTTAAAAATAGCTACTGCCCTTCCACTTCAAATTTTTATCCTGTTCCCTGTTTATTTCTCTCTATAACACATAACACTGTCACATTATATTCTTGTTCTAAAAAATGTATATATGTCTCTTTCCTCTTCCACTTCTCCCAGATCTAGAATATAAGCTCAATGAGGTTAGGAAATTTTGTCTGTTATGGTTACTGCTGCATCTTCAGCACAATGACTGGATGAATGAATGTTGCATAATCATTAAGAAGTTCTTGGTTGGCTCTCATATTTTACTACTAAGTACTTAAGAAGCTTTGCCTTTTACTTACTGTTGACATTGGGAAATTAATCTTTTTGAGTTTCAAGTAAGCTTTCGCTTATTCTTATAACTACTTACTGATGCTTTTCTTCCTATTTAACTTTGTGGAAATTAACTTCTCCAGGTTTTGAGAAGCTTGCCTAAAAAATGGTGGTAGTTAATAAAACTTACCCCATAAAGTATTACGAGGATTAAATAAGACATTGCACAGCAATAGTTATTTAGCATAATATCTGGCATATATTAAGGGTTCAGTAAATCCTTGTTATTTTTATTATTTAAAAATTGTATTGTTTAAATTAATTCAGTATCTTCCATCACTTACAAGTATTCATTAAGATATATACGATGTTTTTCAGATCGTTCATGCCTTAAAAATAAACAACATGTGGAAAATTTACAAGAACCAGTTTTACAAATTTTGTACAAATATTCAAAAATTTATCATCCAGAAGACCTACAGCATTTTGCTCGTCTCATAGGGAGGCTCACTGAACTGAGAACACTGAATCACAACCATTCAGAAATACTTAGCACTTGGAAAACAAGGGACCCCAACCTGGCTAGTTTATTCTCTGAGAAATGGAATTTGTATTCACATTGCTGAAATTTTAGAATGTTGTGGTTTGTCTTAACCTTCCTAAATGTAGATTGTTTACTCTATCATCATAGGATGACTGATTTGAAAAACATGAACAAGATTACTATGTTACCAATATGTCACCAAAAAATGGACACCATCAGTGCTCATCAAACTTCGTGGAATATAGGACTACCATTAGAGGGACATCTAGCAGTCTTTACAAGATTCAACTCAAAAGAAGTAATGTTTTTTGTTACTGTATGGTTTCTTCAAAAGGGAATAATGGTAAATAGAGATTTTATGTGAAGAACTCTACTTTTTTTCCCATTTACTGGAAAATTTAATGAAAAAATATACATTACTTAGAGCCATGAAAAAGACTATCTAGTGGAAACAGTTGTAATCAGACTAACGGCAGTTTGTGAACTCTATTAATCAGTCCAGATTGATGGATAAGGAACTAACATTTTAACCCTATTCCTGAGATAACATTTTATGAATTATTACAAAGGAATAAAGCTTTGTTACCTTTTCTTAATGTCTTTTAAAAAGATCTTTTATAAGCCCAAGTTAAGAAAATTGTAATGGCAAAATATGGAAAAAATTAAAATGACAAGTTATTAGAATATTTTAACATATACTGGGAAATTTAGCACAATTTACTGATCTGGTAAACCATATTTTGGCATTTTGCTAAATGCCTTTTGTAGTAAAAAATGAAGTTCTTAAAACCTGAAATATTTCCATAAATATTTTAATACTTGTAAGGATAGGATGGCTGTACATTAAATTTCAAAAAAATAAATTTCATATGAAAACATGAAAGTGAGAAATTCTATGGTGGCATTATTGTTTTGAAAGATTGAATGTAAGTAAATAAAATACTGTGAATTTAACAGTAGGAGGAGCATTTTGATTTTCAGTAAACAAACAAAAAAAAGATCACAGTGAATTTTTCAGTTATAAAAACTTTAAAAAATTGGAATATTGAATTTATTTCCTCAATTTGAAAATGATCTTAATTTTATTAATTATTGCCCCCAGAGGGTATCTTTTGCATATTCTTGGTATCATCTCTGGAATGAATATTTGATTTCCTTTATGGTATACATACTCTGCTTCCTTAAAATGCATAATGAAAGAGTTACACTAGATTATTCTGGGCTCAAAAAATAAAAAAATTTTTTTGTTTTATAGATTAAATATACAAAGCAAAACTGGTTATTTAAAATTATTACTAAAATCATTTAGAAAAGCATGAATTCTATAATAGTACTGGGAGAAGTTAGAAAACAAAGTCAGTATGTCCAAAACAGAAGATATTATTTTACTGCTCATACACAGGTACTTAGCATTAGCACTACACTGTTTATTGTATCTACTGGTCCAAGCCTGAACTCAGGCAATCATCTCAGAGTGAAAGCCATTAATATTCTATTAATTTTACTTGCTAAAGTATCTTTCACATTTGACATCTCCTTTTCTTCTCCACGGCCACTGTCATATCTCAGGTCCTCATACCTTATCCAGGCTATTAAAACTGTCTCCCTACTCCAGTTTCGTTAAGCCTGAACCATTTTTCGTATCACCAATTTTCTTCTAACGTTGGTCTTGCCTCCCTTTCTAGTAAAAATTCTTCAAGATTCCCGTCCACAAGTGCTTCGTATTTGCTAAGTCTCCTGTCTCATTTCTTGCCATTTTCCCACTTGGTCCTCACACACCTATACCATACTTCTTGCACTAATCACTCTCACAACTCCAGGGCCTTTCCTTCCTTCCCTCAGCCAGGAATAATCCCATTGACTACCTCTCCAGCTCCTCTTTTCACTCTTCAGTTCTCCAACAGGAGTGTACCACATCTGTGAAGCCTGTCCTGACGCCTCAAACCACTGTAAGGGCCCCTTTCCCTGCGTCCTAAGGACCTTTTGAAAATTACTGTGTTTAAATGACTACAGGGGTCTATGGTTGTTCATTTGCTCATTTCCTTCCTTCCTAAGACCGTGAACTCTTGGAGGCGGTAAATAGAGTTTTCACTCTCGGCCCAGTCTATCACAGAACCTTACAGTTCTGCTTGCATTCTCTGACAATACAAGCTTACACAACATCAACGCTAAGCAGAAACAGAAGCCAGGAAAGAACTGGAACCTTCGTAAAAGGAAATCTCGCGAGATGTTGTAGATCTTTGGCGTCCCGCGAGAGATGCTGCTGAGTGACCGTTATTTAGCCGTTAAACAGCGGTTTGCCTCGCGCCTCCCTGTGGGTCCTGAGGCGGAGCCATTTTTCGCTCCTCCCGAGGTTCGATGTTCTGGGCCAGAATCTCTGGTTGAATCTTTCTGTTTCTCTAATAAGGAGCAGGTTACAGTTCGCGTGGGCACCGAGACCGCGGTTTCCCGCTGGTTCTTTAAAGGTAAGCGCAGGTGGCAGTGAGTTCCTTTCCTGAGGACGGAACCCGAGCGGGGCGAAGTTTTGACACCGTGCCTTCGTCACCCAGCCAGCTGCCCCCGCGCCCGGACACCTCTGTGTCGTCTTCTTGGCAGCCACCTCCCTAGTTTTAGATGGAAGGACCTAAGTTCTTTCGGCGAGGTGATTGAACTTAATTGGGCTGGTGAGGGTAACGGGCTTCTTTTCTCGGGCTGTCGCAGTGAGGACTCTGCCGAGTTTCTCACATACTTAGTCTCTAGCGTGACGACTGGCGGTGGGGGGACGGTGGGAACAAATACCGGTGTTTTCACATTGATCACCCCAGCGATAAGTGACGCTGAAGGCTTATATTGTAGCAAAGGTTCATCTGTTCCTTTATATAGTCATTTATTATGTAAGCAACACCTTTAAAAATAATGTGTTAATGAAACAATGTAAAGCACTTTTTTTTTTAAACCCCCTTCTCGGGCTGTAGGTAATTACAACTGAAAGAGAGGAAATGGAGAAGCAAAAGCCCTTTAAGTTGTTTGTACCACCAAGATTAAGTAGCAGTCAGGTGTCTGCAGTGAAACCTCAGACCTTGGGAGGAGATTCTAATTTATTCAAGGTAAATTTGAATGTGAATCATGATGGACTATTCTTAACTTTAGGTGAATGAGGCAAAATGTACTTAATAACTGGTGATATTTTATGAGTAACTTTTTTCCAGTAAATATGGTCTGATTTACCCAAGACTTGAATAACATTGCTATGAGTGATTAATGAGCATACTTAATGTGTATTGGCATCATTCATTTGAAGAAATGTAGAACTCTGCATACATAATGGCATCTGCTTATTTTAATCTTCCCTCTTTCCTTAAATGATTTGAGACAACTTATAACAAATATACAATGAAATAGTAGAATATTAATTTAGGAGAATATTAGGGTCAAGAGAAGTTAAAATTTGGACAGATATGTTAACATACTGGTAAAAATTGTGTGATTGAGCTCAACATTTGCCTCAGTTTCCTTGTTGACAGGATAGAAAGGAAAAATTCATTTATGTAGTAGAGTTCTTATTGGAATTATACCAAATTTCTCACGTGAAACAGCTTTTTTTAACTAAATTAAAAAAGCTCTCAGTGGAACTCTATATTGGAGATGGAATGAAGCAATGAATATTTTAATTTTACATGATGTAGAAAAATTCTATCAAGGGAAAAATTGTACTGAAATTGAAGAAAACTAATACTCTATGCTACTATTTAAAATCACTAATATTCCTGAATACTTAGAAAGCATTATTGTGTAATTTATACTTTAGTTTTATCTTGTAAATGAAAATACTTAAAGTTTTTAGCTTTCTTTACATAGCAAAAGCATTTGGTATCTTAAACACTGTATGTACATTAAAGGATTTGTAATTATAGTTACTACTTTAAACAGATATAAATAATGTATATAATTACATATTCCATTGCTAGTTATCAGAGTGACATGGGACATTATGTTTAAGAACCTCTTTGTGTTTCTAGAGTTTCAACAAATGCATTGAAGATAATTTTGGTTTTCCATTTGCAATGACTAAGCTCTCCAGAAATGGGGAAAACATTGATTCAGGTAGGAGACTGGAAAAGCAATATATCACCTTACATAGAAACATTTTTTAAATACACATTGCTAGATATTCAGCATAATACAGCTAGAAATACAGCATAAGTATTATATTGAAAGCCTTGATATTAAAGCTAAATATTACTAAATACAGAAAATAAGATTTGGCATATTTAATACCAGTTGTCTTTTATCTTGCAGATCCTGCTTTACAAAAAGTTAACTTTTTGCCCATGCTCGAACAGGTAAGTATAATACATGTTGACATAATTGGTTTAGGTATTGAATTGCTTGCTTGAAAAAGAAAAAAATATTTAGTTGCTGGATTACTAGTCTTCCAATATCTTATTGCTACTATTTGGAAACTCTCATCAGAAGTATTTTCTTACAGGAAACATTTATTTATTTTTTAGGTTGATAATTCTGACAGCTGTCACTACCAGGAAGGACTAAGAGAATCTGATTTTGAGGTTGGAATATTTCCCATCCATATTAAATTTCTTGTAATTGTAGTATCATTTATTATTATTTGTATATATCTTTCTTTTGAGGCTTCAAAAGGATTAATATTTGGCTAATGTTTCGTTATATCTTTAAAAGCCTTTTTTCCCATTTGTTTTCTTTTTAACTGCCGAAACACTAGGCTTCAGTATTTTCCTAGGCTATAAAAGTATCCATTGTTTAGGGGCAATTTAATTTTAAACCGTAGAAAGCAAGAATAGAAAAGGGGAGATAGATACAACCTGTGAAAAAACTGAGAGTCATCCAGTAATTTATGAACAATCCTTTAATTAATGTTATGATTGTTTGGTTTACTGTCTAAGGAATTTATAGGACATGATATACTTTTTATTTTAGTTTTAAGTATCATTCTTACAGCACATAATGTTTTTAAAACAAAGAGAAATTCCATGGCCTGATAAATTGCTGTATACTTTGTGCTGTGATTATGTATCAGAGAACTTAAAAATATGGAACTTATGTATTTTGATAGTAAAGATCCATCAGTAAGTAGAAATCAGTGTGATTTAAAAAAACAAACAAACTTACATTTACCTTATAATATAGAAATGGATAATGTAAGAAATCCAAAATAAAATCCAAGTGAAACCTCAGGTTAAATGATAGCTCTTGTGTTCACTGTTATTTTTCTTTTCATTGTATTTTAAACTTCATGTCATTGAGTTAACTCTTAAACTATTTGTATTAATAAAAATGTTTCAAGACCACTGTTACAATGTATAAATTTTTTGTAGAGTGATTTATTTTAGCTTTTAATGAGCCAGAGTTCTCATTGACTGAAATATTTCTAATTTCAGGTTAGGTACATTTTGAAGTTATTTGATATTATTCAGCAAGGTATAACTTAGGCAAGTGAGGAGTAACATTAGTGAAGTAGCTAATACTGCCTTAGTAGTTTAAAAAACTTATTGTAGTTTTCAGAGTGCTACTAGGACATAAACTGAGGAGAGATTTAATATCAACTCTTAAGATACCATTACTCATGAATATTTTCAATAGGCAGCTGTAGTTTGGTAATACTAAAATTTTGAACAATTTACCATGTTTGAAAACCTATTTTAATAGAATTCAGAGCCAATGAGCAGACTATATTCAAAACTATATAAGGAGGCTGAAAAGATCAAGAAGTGGAAAGTGGATGTAGACTCTGAACTGAAGCAGAAAGAAAATAAATTGCAAGAAAATAGAAAGATAATTGAAGCACAGCGGAAGGCCATTCAGGAACTACAGGTATAAACAAGATTTGAATTGAAAATATAGTATAGTAAATCTTAATCATAATGCTGTTTAAAATGGATTATTTCAGAGTTAAGTTGGGTTTATCTTGTTTCTATGATGTCGATTTTAAGGACAGTACTTTTTGAAGTTTCACTGGTATAAGTTGCATTTCAACTTCAAGATGGGCACAGAGAACCAGCTGTACAAAACTTAATGCAAATGATTAGGGAAATAATAAATTACTTTAGATAAAGATTAATGATTCTAATTTATAATAGAGTATTTTTATTAATTCCTATTACTGATGATGTTTTGTTTGATATAAATGTCTTATACTGGAATATGGCATTTGTAGATAAAACTTGAAATTTGAAACTGACTTCCATTTTATGGCATAATGAGAAAACAATGACAAGAAAATGCAACATTGGGTTAGGACAAAGATAAAACATCATTTTAAATGTTTAGGGAAGATAATATTGCAATAAAATATTGTTGGATACATTCTGAAAATGATTCAGCAAATTTGATTTCAGTTTGATGAAAGTGAGACCCATATTATGGGAAATCCATAAGCTGTGAGTTCTTTTTTTATGTGCAAAAAATTTTTATAGACTGTCATAGCATGTTAGCAAAGAAATGCTGCTTAATGATTATACTCATGTTGATTTTGCTAAGCATAATGTGATCAACTATTTTTGTTTTGGAAATTAGTTTGAAAATGAAAAAGTAAGTTTGAAATTAGAAGAAGGAATTCAAGAAAATAAAGATTTAATAAAAGAGTAAGTAATAATTTAATGAATTTGTTTCCAGATTTATTTATTTTTCCTAACTTACCATTAAAATAATTTCCAAAAAATTATTGAGCACTTTCTATTGTGTAATATTAATCTTATATATGGAATTCTACCTGGGTGCTATGGAAAAAGGAAGACATATTTTACATTCTTGCATTTGACCCTAGTAACTTCTCACTTTTAAAAATATCAGACAGGTGAGAATTTTGGGGATCAACAGAGATGAGGCTTAGAACCTCACACCCCCTGTTTTGAGAGAAATCTTCTTCATCCGTGGATGTTTTGTTGCCCTTGCCTAGCTTGGATTAATACTTAGTCTATAGGCACAGATCTGATTATCTACACTTGCCCTCTTACAGCACTAAATTATGCTTTCTATCTTTATCTTGCATCTACCTACCATTTCAGCATTTTATTTAAAAAAAATAAGGGAGAAATATGGGATTCACATATAAATCAAGTATAAAAATCAAATGAATCATCAAAAAAATATCAGACAGGAGAAATTATTAGTTGGCAACAAAAAAAATACATGATAATCCTGTACAATTGCCTATGTGTATTGCCTTCCTTTCTTTTTGCCTGTTGTTTTAGGTGCAGCATTTGTGAAATAAGGCTCAACTTAGTTCCAAGCTAATTTCTACTTTCAGATTCATGTTTTTGCCAATGTCCCAGTGATTTAACCATTAAAATTGGCTTAAAACTTTAGTGTCATCTTTGACTTTTCCTTTCCTTTGATCTAGGCAATAGCTAAGCCTTATTTTATACCTTTATCATATCATTCATGCAGAGTTTAATACAAAAACGTACATGTTTAATTCATCTGTTAAGCAGATATTTAATGGTTGAAAGATAATGTATGGGTCCACACAGAATACAAAATTTGTTTATTCCTACTTGTTTTAAGGAAAACATGCTAAGCATGGTTCCAGAAGCCCTATCACTTTATCAGTGAAGTTGCTAATAAGTAAAAAATGCTCTTATGACAAATTTTTTTTAGTCCAATTCAAAGACAACCTATGACTTCCTAGATAAAATTTAAATGTTACCCTTAATTTTTTCCCTCCCTAAATGAGGTTTGGTTATTACAGGTGGGGGAGAGAGAAGAGGAAAGTTCTAACAGTGTGTGTGCCTGCTGTATGTTTGGTATTTACTGGTTATTTTTATGTGGATAGTGTGATTGAGTTCCTGTAGTATGGTGTAAGACAGATCTACTGGAGCACTAACACCAGTATTTGATAACTTGTGAGCTTTCCTTAAATTTCTGCTTCCTGCACTAATAAACATACAGTTTTTGTGAATACCATAACTATTTAGTTTTGTTACATAGTGTACTGCAGTGCAACATAGTATAGTATAAAATTTATGCCATTTTTTGAGGTGGAGGGGAGTGACCTAATTTTTGGGTGTGATTTCCTTCTATTTTAAGGACTTGTTTCAGTTGAGTGTCAGTTTTGGCTTTAAATATTGAATTGTTAGTTTTCATCTGAGTGAACCTAGCATTTAGTTAAGAGCTTTGTCAAAATAAAGGTAGGAAACAAAGTTACACTTAAGGTAGAGTAACTTGATTATTGGATGACAAATTTAGTGTAAAGTTGCCTAGGACCAGCCTGTTCACTGATTATGACTTTCTTAAGGGGATGTAGATTTTTAGAGTATTATTTCATGTATTTTTGAGCTTGAAATAGACTTTGGGCATTTCAAAACCATAGTCTAGGCTCTAATAGGAGTTTGAGAGGAATGGGCACTTTGGCTCATTGGCATTTTTGAGCAGGAGAGAGTTTTAATATAATTTAGATAATACTGGAGGAACTATTGTTTTGTTTTTTGCTTATTTTGTTTTCTACATTTTTTTTTGATTTTTTTGATTTTTTAAAATTGAAGTGTAGTTGATACACAATATTGATTTCAAGTGTACAACACAGTGACTCAACAGTTACATACATTATTAAATCCTCACCCCAGTGTAGTTACTATCTGTCAACACAGAAAGATGTTACAGAACTATCAGCTATATTCTTCATGCTGTACTTTCATCCCCATGATTAACTTAGATTGAGATTTTTGTGCCTCTTTATCCCCTTTACCTACCCACCCCAACCCCTCCCCCATGGTAACCACCAGTCACTTTTCAGTGTCTATGAGTCTACTGCTGCTTTGTTCATTTAGTTTTGCTTTGGTTTTAGATCCCACATATAGGTGAAATCATGTGGTATTTGTCTTTCTCCACCTGGCTCATTTCACTTAGCATAATATCCTCTAGGTCCTTTCATATTGTCACAAATGGCAGCATTTGTTCCTTTTTTTAATGGCCAAATAATGTTCCATTCTGTAGGTGTACCATGTCTTCTTTATCCATTCATCTATTGATGGATACTTTGGTTGCTTCCATATCTTGGCTATTGTAAATAGTGTGGCGATAAACATAGGGGTGCATATGTCTTTTCAAATCAGGGATTTTGTTTTCTTCAGGTAATTTCCTGGAAGTGGAATTACTGGATTGAATGGTATTTCTCTTTTTAGTGTTTTGAAGAACCTCCATATTGTTTTCCACCTTGGCTGCATAAATTTACATTCCCACCAACAGTGTAGGAGGGTTCCCTTTTCTCCTCGCCAACACTTGTTATTTCTTGTCTTTTGGATAGTGGCTATTCTGACTAGTATGAGGTGATATTGTGGTTTTTATTTGCAATTCTCTGATGATTAGTGATGTGGAGCATCTTTTCATGTGCCTGTTGGCCATTGTATTTTTTCTTTGGGAAACTGTCTAGTTAGGTCCTCTGCCCATTTTTTAATCAGGTAATTTGTTAATCAGGCACATGAATTCTTTGTATATTTTGGATGTTAACCCCTTATTGAATAAATTATTTATGAATGTATTTTCCCATACTGTAGGTTGCCTTTTTGTTTTTTGTTGATGGTGTCCTTTGCTTTACAAAAGCTTATTAGTTTGATGTAGTCCCACTTGCTTATTTTTGATTTTGTTTCCCTTGCTTGGAAAAATGTGTCCAGAAAAAAATTACTCATGCTTAAGCTGAAGAGATTTTTGCCTATATTTTCTTCTAGGAGTTTTATGGTTTCATGTCTTATATTTAGGTCTTTAATCTATTTTGAGTTTACTTTGTATATGGAATTAGATAGTAATCCAGTTTCATTCTCTTGCATGTAGCTGTCCAGTTTTCCCAACACCATTTATTGAAAAGATTGTCTTTTTCCCATTGTATATTCATGGCTCATCTGTCATAAATTAATTGACCATGTATATGTGGGTTTATTTCTGGGCTCTCTGTTCCATTGATCTGTGGGTCTGTTCTTGTGCCAGTACCATCCTGTTTTGATTATTATAGCTTTGTAGTAGAGCTTGAAGCAGTATGATATCCCCAGCTCTGTTCTTTCTCAGAATACTTTGGCTATTCAGGGTCTTTCATGGTTCCATATGAATTTTAGAATTATTTGGTCTAGTTCATTGAAAAGTGCTATTGGGATTTTTCTTCACAGAGTAATTTATGAATTGTATGTGATACATTCAAGATATTGTAATGTTTTAAGAATTAAAAAAAATTACAACTATGTTTCATAACTTTTATATGTGATTTTGCTTTGAGATCAGATTATGTTTAGGTAAACTCTTCTCTTTGTTTCAGGAATAATTCTACAAGACATTTATGTAATTTACTCAAAGAAACCTGTGCCAAATCTGCTGAAAAGACAAAGAAATGTAAATACCTTTCCTGTTTTATGTGATTTTATCAATTTATTATTGCTTATTATTTTAATGATAGACAGGGGAAGAAATTGTCTTTTCACTTTTTGGAACAAATTTTGATTTGAAGAAGTTGTATGTGCCTCATACCATTTCATTGTGTAAGTAGGAACTAGATTCTCAGATGTTGGAACTTTGAAAGCTCAAAGCTTTTTGAAAGATAGTATAATTCAAAAGATATATACTTAGCATGTATAGTTCTCATTTTAGTTAAAGTGTGATTTTGAGACAAACCTCTTATTGAATCAAGAATATGAGATATATATATTTCATAATAGAAAATACTCGTAGAGGGCTGTGGTAAATGCATAGTACTTAAGAATAGCAATGTAATATTTAATTCCAGTCAAAATAGAATTCTCAAATTTCTCTTAAGGAAATATTCTTTTAAAACATTCTAATGAGGTTGTGTGACATATATATGAAAGTACATGTTTTTATTTGTGTATGTTTGGTTTATAGGGCAGGAATTGTTTTTATTGATGAAAAACATAAAAATCTGATTTTCAAAAATAATAGATTTTACCCTTCTCAGTTATTAATTTGACACTAGCTGTACTTTGTTCCTGCTAAGAATCTATTACAAAATACTGCCCACCTGCTTTTTCAGGAGAGCCCCTATTTTTCTCAGCCAAAAATTTTAATTTATTAATACAGCTTATTGCTTAAAAGTTTGGCTTAAGAATAAACAGCCTGTATTCAAAACTTACAGTTGCTAGCTGCTTGACCTTGCAGAATTTGAGTAAGTTACATTATTTCTCTGACTTTCTGGTTATGAATTAATAAAGTGTTTCTTATTGTTGTTTTGAGAATTAAACAATACAAAATGCTTGAACAGTGCGAAGTCATCAATAAATGTTTGCTGTTATTTATTATTAGTATTATTATTCCCAGTATATGCACTATTATAGGTTTTTTATTCTTGGTCCTTGCCTGTAGTTTTTGGAACTGTGTGTACTTTTCAGAACATACTGTACTACTACCAGCTCCTCCACTACATTCTGTTTATTCAACTTTCAAGATTAGCTTCTTTGTTGAGATATAAAAAGTGGTGAAAAGTATGCAAATGGGGTAAAGGGATAGTATATTGGCTGTGTTGCAGTGAGTAACCTGGGCTGGAGAGATAAGTTGCTAGTTGTTTCTTCCATTTAGTTTTAAGCTAAGTCAGAGATCAGATTTTAGGAGAGGTTTAAAGAATCTTCTAAACATTTTTGAGGTGATCTCTTAAATTAATTAAAGAGTGTGCCTTCATGTGACATATAGATTTTTTCTTTAAAACAAATCTTAATACTTCCCTTAATATTAGTATAAATTCTATCCAGATTCTTGCCTTAAAAGTCTTTATTTTTGATATTTTTATTTTCTGTTTTATTTACCATTCAGCATTTTTAAAAGTGTCTGCTATGTGTCGTGAAATGTTCTAGATGCTGAGGAAAAACAGCAGTGAACAAAGTTTCTGCTCTTAAGGAGTATGCACATTTGTGAAGGTGGACAAGAGAAATAAACTATATTTTGGGTGATGTGTTTGCCTTGCTGTTATGGCTGCTGTAGCTCTATTATTGGGGCCACTTTGGGGACCAGACTGAGAGAGGAATAAAACGTCAGGATATTCTTTTGCTGTTTATGCTGTTACAGATCTGCTGGCACCTTATACTTTGGTTAATGCTAGGAGAGAAGATAGGAAAAAACTAAACAAACAGGAACCTTACTTTCACATGACTCACTTCTTCAAGATTTTACTTTCCTTCCTAATCTACCTGCTTTTGCTTACTTGTCAAAGTCCTCAAGTAGTTGTTTTATGTATTCAGAGTTTTTAGTTGTAATCAATGAAAGCAAAAGCCTGCAGTGGGTTTAATTCCATCTTGACTTATTCAGAGTTTTTAGTTGTAATCAATGAAAGCAAAAGCCTGCAGTGGGTTTAATTCCATCTTGACTTGCATTGGAAACTGCATAAAGAGAGAATGTTTTGGGATAGAGTGATTGGGGAAGTTTTTTCTAATTAAGACTCAATTAGAGACCTAAATAAGTGAAAGAGTGAGCCATGTTGCTGTTTCAGGAATGAATATTGTGGGCAGAGGAAATATCAACTGTAAAGTCTCTTAGATGAGACCCTGTTTAATCTTAGAAAGTTATAAACAATGAGGCCACTCTGATGTACCTTTGATATTTCTTACCCTCTGTGTATTTCTCATCTTTATTTTCATTGTGCTCCATTCAGGAGAATTTCTCCTAACCTCTTTTCCAGTTTATTTATGCTCTTTATATTCTAATTTGTATTTAAATTAATCAGTTGAGGCCTTAATTTCTGTTACTGTATTTTCTGTTTCTATAAATATTAGCTTGTTTTAAAAATATCTGTAGTGTTACTTTTTGGAGTTTGAGGTTCCTGACTGAAAATTTTCAGCTCAGCCTTTTATCTCCATGAACATATAAACGAAGATTTATCAAAATTTGTGTTCAATAATGCCAATATCTGGAATTCCTTGGGGCCTACTTTTGTGTCTGTTCTGTAGATTCTAGCTCTTGTCATGTTTCTTACTGTGTACTTCATTATTTTTTGTTTGCTTAAGACTTAGAATAATATCACATTGTGCTTTTTCTTCAGAACAGTAATATACACATGGCAATAGTAGTACAACTCCTTTTGGGTTTCTGGACCTGATTCCAGTGTATGTGTTTGTGGGAAGGGGTCTTCCCACACACACCACCACACAATTCTCAAACATCAGCAGGGTGTCCGAGAGCTTAACTCAATTCTGACGCTGTCTGCTTGGAGATGGCGCCAGATTCCCCAGGTTAAGGGGCTCTGTCCTGCAAGACTGCTCTCCAACAACCCCACTCCAGATACTAGTCGCAAACTCCAAGCAGTTACCTGTGTTTCTAACCAATTGGCTACAGATGAGAGGTTCCAATGACCTCACCCTTAGGTTCGATTAATTTGCTAGAGTGGCTCACAGACTCAGGAAAGCACTTAGGTTTACCAGTCTAATAAAGGATACCATAAGGATACAAGTTAACAGTAATATGAAGAGATGCATAGGGCAAGGTCCCAAATAAAGGAGCTTCTATCTTAGCGGAACTTGGGGCCTGACTTAGTTTTTCTAGTTCTTTGAATGGTGAGCAATTTTGGATTATATCCTGAGCATTTTGAATACTATGTTTTGATATTCTGAGTCCTGTTAAAATCTCCTGGAGAATGTTTGTTTACTTTTTAACAAGTAGTCAATTCAGGTTCAGATAACAAGTTCTTTCTGCTTTTTGTGTGCTAGGGTTCCAATGTCAGTTCAGTCTTCATAGCTTCTGCTATGCTGCTCTGGGTCTGTTTCATGTATACTCCATTCAAGGTTAGTTCTGGGACTTGGATAGTGATTTACATTGGAGTTCAGTTTTCAAAGCCTTTGCTATATTTGATTTGGGTCTGTCCTTGTACATTCTCTCTTTTCCCCATGGGACTTGTGTCAATTCAAACACATAATTAGGGAATCCACTTCTCCAACTCTCTCTAGGATTACTGCTCCACTCTCAGCCTCATAGGGGCCCCTTTTCCCTATCTAGGTGTTTCAGGATTATCTCTCCCCTTGCTGTTATGGCTGCTGTAGCTCTATTATTGGGGCCACTTTTGGGACCAGACAGAGAGGAATAAAACGTCAGGATATTCTTTTGCTGTTTATGCTGTTACAGATCTGCTGATACCTTATACTTTGGTTAATGCTAGGAGAGAAGGTAGGAAAAAACTAAACAAGCAGGAACCTTACTTTCACATGACTCACTTCTTCAAGATTTTACTTTCCTTCCCAATCTACCTGCTTTTGCTTACTCTTCAAAGTCCTCAAGTAGTTGTTTTATGTATTCAGAGTTTTTAGTTGTAATCAATGAAAGCAAAAGCCTGCAGTGGGTTTAATTCCATCTTGACTTGCATTGGAAATTGGCTTAGCTTTTTGGAGTTATAATCCTCAACCTATTCTTGGCCTGACGATTCATCATTATCTTTATAAATATTTGATTCTTTTCATAATTAAAAAAATCCTCCAGATTTTTAATTGCTTTTAGCAGGGAGAGTGGTCTGAATCACTTAGCCATTAACAGCAGAGTCCTTGATGCTTTTCCAAAATATAGATCAAATCACATTACTGTCTAAATCTGTGAGTGGCTTTCCATAATTTTCATGATAGAATGGTGTTTGCCACTTCCCTCCACCTTGTCAAATGTTTCCTACATGCCTCACATACGCAAGCTCATGGAGAACTACTTGTTTTTCCCTAAGCAGATTATGAATCTGAGCTTTTTTATATATTGTTTTTTTTTAATTGGCTGATCCTCCTTCCTTCATCTTGTTAACTCCTGTTTGTCCTTCAAAACTCAGAATAAATATCACTTCCCTTGGGAAATATTCCCTAATTTTCTAGTATGATTTAGATGCTGCTTTTCTTTCACATAGTTCTTTAACGTGTAATCATGAATTCCTTCAACGAATATTTATTGAGTGCTTACAATATGCTAGACATCTCACTGTAAGTTTGAGGGCAGTGGATCATGTCTTATTTGACTTCATATATTTAACATTTTGCACAGTGTCTTTGAAGATAGTAGGCAATAAATGAGTGAATAAAGAACAAATCTGTTCTTAGATGTACCTTAAAAAGTCTTTGAATGGCTGTCTTTGAACACAGAATCACAAAATTCTTCAGTTTGCCATTCAAAGTACTGCATTAACTGTTTTTGCAGCCTTTTCCCTTAAGTTACATAGTGTTGGAAGGGACTATAAAGCTTTTATAGTCTACTTAAATTCCTTTTGCTTTAATTTCCTGTATAGCATGTCTAACTAGATGGTAGTCTTTCATATATTTGAATATAGTCAGTGATGGAAACTCACTAACCTCAAGATTGTCATTTAAGGATAACTCTTATTTCTACATTGAAGTGAAATCTCTATGTAGTTTCTTTCTTCTTATTGTAACTTCTCCTTAGGGCATACAGAAAAAGCCTAAGCCAGTTTTTTATGTGCTATCTCTTTATCTCTTTAGATATCTAAAGATCGCTACTTGTCACTTTTGAATCTTGTCTTAAACCTAGACATTTCAAGATTCTTTTAGTGCTTTTGTTATTTTGGTTGATCTGTTAAACATCTTTGTTATATGTAGGAGTCTAGATCTGTATGGGGTAATCTAATATGTAGATTGAACTGTATAAAGGACTATTTCTTGTCTAATTGTAGGTATTGTTAATGAACTCTAAAGTCAGCTTATTTGACAGCCACATTGTATTATAGGTTTCATGAATTCAATATGAATTAAAAACTTTTTTTTTACTTCCCTCTTTGCATGTCCATTTAGATTTTTGGATCCAAATAGCGTTTTTGCATTTATCCCTACTGGATTTTACCTGGCAGACCTGTGTTTTAATCATGTACCATTAGCTTTAGGATCCTGGCAAATAATATAATCTTTCTGTATTACATTTTCCTTATCTGTGAAATGAGGATAATCACAGTTCCATATATCTATGCCTATGTCTGTAACTATATATATAGTGTGTGTATATATGTGTATATGTTTTTCCCCTTGCCAGGACTTTGGTAATTTCTTGATCTCATAATTCACAGGTTTCATAGAACCTCCATTTCAATCTGAACACAAGTCTTTTTAGGCCCAAGAAAGCTTTATGATATCTTTGGCCACTCTATCTGATTTCTGTTTGGGAAATACTTACTTGTTTATTGGTCCTCTGTTATTTTTCTCTGTTTTAATATTTGTTTTTTCCCTTCCTTTTATTTAAGTTTCTTTCCTGTATTTCCAATTTGACTTTTGGAGGATCAACTCAGGATCAACTCCATCCTGTCATGCCTCTAACCTGTAGTTCCCTTGCAGTCTCTCATTATCTAAACCATTGCCCCTTTCCTCCTCATTTATTTTTCTATTTAATTCATCCCATTTCTTGCATTTGTTTGGTCTGTTCTTTATTACTGTATTTTCCTCTTTCATTGACCATATTTTCTTGATTCTGTTGAGAATACCAAATAGTTTTCTGAAGTTTTCATCTGAATTCTCTGGAGTTCATTTTCAAAGATAAGTTGTTCCTGTGAATACTTTTCTTGTTGTTCTCTTCCTTTGTTTGATAGTGTTTTTTCATAGAGCTCATATAGGTTTTCTTACCATATGAAAAAGGTAAGAATTATCCAGTCTAAATTATCCTTATCATTGAAAAAGGCCAGAATTAATCCAGACTAAATAAAGTAAGTATTAAGCTGTCTTTGCTCCTGTTAACTCCCTTGGTTTACTGATTGAATCCTTTTTTCATTTATATAATTGTGTGGCATGTAACTGAGAAGTTTCTAAAGTTTTTGCCTTGCATAGCTCTGCTTATAATGGCTGCATCTTCTTTCTGCCCCTTCTGCCTGGTTTTTTGGTACTCTTAAAAATTTTGCAGAATATATGACTGAATAATTCTAGTCAACAAATTCAAGCGTGCATAAGGTTTTAACATCTTCAAATATTAAAATAACCTTAGTTTTTTAATATCTTAAAGCTTTGATTCTGTTGGCATGGAAGTAAGTTAATCTCAGTAAATTTTGGAATTTTTTCCCATTTTCTTGGAGTTGTATCTAAATTAGGGATACCCATATAGTACCATGTGGTTGAGAAGGGTATTTGTTTCTCAATCATCTATCCACTGAGACTGTCATCATTTCAACTGGTTTTAAATTATTGGTCAACATGAGTTGGTGCTGAGTTGTCCCTCATACCTGTCCTCAGGGCCTATTCAGGTCTGCTGGTTCTCTGTGCTTTATCCCATCGTGCTTAGGTTGCACAAGGTGTTGGGGCAAACTGAAGCTATTTAAGGCCGCATCTATCTAGATACAGTTCACAGCCATTTCTTCTCAGGTTTTGTCATCTTCCTGGAGCCCTACTGAAGAAAATAAAAAAGCATAGTTCTTCTGCTCTCAGTTTGTCCAAACTATATGGGATTTCTTTAGGCCCCAATCCAGAGGCTTGGCCTGGTGATTGTAGAGGGCTATAGAACCCCTTTTTAAGTATTTGTTGGAGTTTAATAAGCTCTCTCAGCTTCCCCTTTTAAAAGCCTCTGTCACACAAACTAGTAAATATTTCTTAGATCTAGAGGATGGGAAGCTTTGTTCTGACTTACATGTTTTTAAAATCTATTATTTATGCCTTGAATAATTCACTTAGCCTCAACACTGGGCTTTTTGAAACTCAGACTTTTTCTTTTCTTTGGGTTGAATCATCTTCTCTTTAAAGCAATGAATTCTGCAAGATCTAGTTGCCCAAACTGGGGCAAAGTGTGTGTGTTTGTGTGTGTGTGTGTGTGTGTGTGTGTGTGTGTGAGAGAGAGAGAGAGAGAGAGAGAGAGAGAGAGAGAGAGAAGAAACAGAGAGAGTAGTAGAGAAGAGAAAAAGACACAGAGAGAGGGGGAAAGGAGGGAAAAGAAAAAAAGATGGGGTGGGGTGGGGAAATAGATGGATTGATGGATAGATAAATATGAAGAAAAAGCCCCCAAAAGATAGGCTTATATTTTAACAATATTATATCATCACATTAGAACACTCTGCTACTAGAGTACCTTCTCTGTGTCATCTGTAGCAGCTTGTACAAGCTTATTTTCTTTTCTGTAGTTTTATTTATTTGATTTCCAGTACTTGCCTGTTGGAAGAATGGCTGGAAGGTATTTTGGAGTTCTGGTGGTAGTGCTAATGGGAAGATTGCAGATTTTTGGTGATGGAATGCGATTCTTTGGCACAAATAGTTTCTGAGGAATAAAGAACTTTTGTTGCTAATTGCAACAAAAGTGAATATGAGACAGTGAATGGATGGAGTGAGAAGTATGAACTGTCTTTCTGTTGAAACACTGATGTGTTCTGCTTCTATTTAAGTTTCCCAGCTCTTTAATATTCAAATAAAAGTTCAGCTCTTGTTCCATGTGCTGTGATATGTCTAGAGCTTTCTTCAGTATTTTTGAGGGATTTAGGATACTTGTATTCTTCTAAAGTCAGTCATGTACCCTCTTTTTAGTTATTTGGCTCTTAATTGACATTTGAGTCTGAGTCTATCATAGCTGCTATTTTCTTATTTGCAGCTTGTTACTGAGAGTCTGAGAGTAATACCCTCCTTAGTTTAACATGGTTTCTATGATGTTGGCATCATTTGGGGGGAATGGTGAAGGGACAATCACACTTTTTTATACTGCCTTGTACCTTAATTCCCCACAGTGCTACCTACCAACACTGTTTTACTGACTTTATTGAAGGCTTGTGTATATAGCTAGAGGGAATCATTGTTCAGGTATAAAACTCTATAAAAAAAAAAAGATCATAGAGGATTCAAAGAGGATTTCTCTTCTCTTTGGGGTCATACCTTTTCTTATCCTACTCTTCCTTTCTTAAGGTTTATCTTCCTTTCTGCCTCCTTAGAGATAGAGCAAGAGATGAAAAGAGTGAGTTTTACCATTCATGTGTATCCCATGAATCATAAATAAAGGAAAAAATACTTTATAGAATAATTATAAGTCCCTTCCCATTGTGAAGGCTAAAACTGTATATTACAGAGTTTGAATAAATTCATTGATGGTAATTGTATAAAAGGAAATTAGAGATAATTGAATAGCACCAAGCTTTTGAGGTTGATGCCATGACGTACAACCATGCCTTATTTATGAAACTGCTTTTGATGCTACTTTAAAAGACTGAAAGGATGTATCAACACAGCATTTTAAATATTTTGATGTTTTCCTGAGGTATTTCGAGTATTCTTTTGTTGACATCATAATTTATGTTTTAAAATTTAATTTTGAAATATTTTGTACTAACAGATGAATATGAACGGGAGGAAACTAGGCAAGTTTATGCGGATCTAAATAATAACATTGAGGTAAATGGTAGTGAAAATCTGAATATTTTAAACAAGGGTATTTGTAAGTAAAGTAAAATGATAGGTACGAAGATATAGACAACTGTTCTTGCTAAAGGGATCATTATTTGTTTGTTGACATCTCATTATACCCAACAAAATTCCCAAGGTTCTATACTGTTAATGTTTTTTTAATTAGCTTTTGAATTACATGTCAGTGACACCATTTAACTTACTTAATTTTGTGTCAGAGACTAGCATATTGTAACATGTAAACATTAACATGAAAATCGTACAGTATTACTAACCTATATCAGGGTATGCATAAGAAAGGTAATCAATAATCAGTCATTCTCCACTTTGCTTCTTGGCTATAGTCACTTTTTTTTAAAATGCTGTTTTTAGTGTTTTATGTTTTTTTATCTTTTTTATATTTCTCAAATTTTCTAAACTCTTTGTGATCTTGGCTATTTTAATTTATTCCTTGTCTAAACTTGTGTGTCCAAGATCTTATGCAAACTCATACACTTCATTATGCTTTTCTAATCACTCTCTCCTTGTTGCCTTATCTAAAATACCTTTCTCTTTAGTTATTTTCTGTCTCTTCACCTTGCTTAACTTTTCTGAAACATACTTGAAACTACATGACATTTATCTGATGTACAAATGCTTTCTTACACTGGAATATAAATTAGTTCTAGTAGGGTAAGGATTTTATTTATGTCTTAAGTGCTTAAAACAGTGCCTGGCATATAATAAACACTATTTACTGAACAAATAAATGAATTCATCCTACTTTACAAATCAAGATTTGTTGAATGTTGAGTGAACTCATGCTGCCAGATGATGGAAGTATAATTTGGACATCTATGGGGAGAGACCTCACAGAAGTTGCACTTTGTGAAGATGATAGAAATTAAAAAAGCAAAAATAAATATTAAATTATAGATTTTGATATGGCTGTCAAGCAAATGACCACCAACTGTTTTGCTACTGTTGGCATTATATATATAGCATTTTTCCAATTCCTTTAAGCCTCTGGAAAGTGCACATAACAGATACTCTTAATATATTTTTAGTAAATTATTTAATTGTTAAAGGTTGTAGGGTTTTCATTTTTCAAAATTGTGTGGTTTTAAATCTAATGATTGATTACATGATACAAACTTGTTAATATTTTCCTGTCTGAAGAAGACTCTTTAAAAAGTGATTCTTAAAATTAAACTTCATATTTCAGAAAATGATAATAGCTTTTGAGGAACTTCGTGTGCAAGCTGAGAATTCCAGACTGGAAATGCATTTTAAGTGTAGGGATACTATTTAATTTTTACATTATTATTCTGCTGTTTATATTTTTATTAGATTGTTAATGTTTCCATACCTTCAATTTGATGCCTCAACTATTTAAAACTTTGTATTTTAAATCTAACTCCTCAGAATCTTGTGGAATGTGGCAGAGAATTGATATATGTTAAAAATACTCTTTAAGCTTTAAGACTACATCTTCCATGAAATCAAATTTATTATGGTTTGCATTTAGCTTTTTAGAAGTATGATTTTGTCTTATTTTTATATTTATTATAAATGTACATGTTAAAACAACAGTATATATATTTAGAATCTGTTATTTCAGATTAGTGTGTTATGAAGAATAAACTTTTATATATGTGCTGTTATAAAAATTATAGAATTTAAATTATAACTGATACTATTTAAATTCACTATTTTACTAAACAAAGTTAGTAGCAATAAAACATCAGTTTTGGCTTATTAAAAACCTTTGAGATTTAATATCTAGATAAAGAGGTAAAATAAAATATCAAACTTAAATTTTGTTATGGAATTATATTAAGATATTAAAGTATATTTGTTTTATTTTTAAAGTAAAGGAAGATTATGAAAAAATCCAACATCTAGAGGAGGACTATAAGAAGGAAGTAAATGACAAGGAAAAGCAGGTATTTTTTAAAAATCAACTCTATTTTTTGTATTTGCTAATTCATAAAATACTTAAAATTATAAAAGAAACCTGTATTTGCTGATTGCGTGACAGATGCTTTGAGAGAATTTTAATATTATGCATATCCAAATATTTAGCCTATTGCTTAGCAGTATTAATTTCCACTGACTCAAATATGCATGCATTGAGTGCTAACTCTTTTAAAAAAAATCAATGAATCCTCTATAATATTTATTTCAGTGGGTAATAGGACATAGCAGCAAAAATATATTATTTTGTGAAAACTTCTGTTCAGACCAAAACCTCAAAAAATTGACTACTCAGTCCACATTTTGCAGTTTATTTTGAAATATGCTATCTATGACACTAATAAAGGAGAACTAAAATATTCTTTTGCTTCTTTATATTAATGTCATATAATGGAAGACAAAAATGTCAAGTTTGTAAACTTTGACATTTATAAGAATGTTTATTTCAGATTATTATTATTATACCACCCTTATCAATTTCAAGCCTTCAGCTTCTCAAATGGAAGGTGATATATAGAAAGGAATCCTCTTTTTTCTATTTCTCCCTGTTTTTCCAGAGTTTTTCTTCTCTGATTTGCCTCGAGATAACTTGTAATGATAAATAACAAGGATAGTTTCTTAAACTAAAGTATCAAAGGATAATTGAAAGTACAGACAATATACTTGCAGTTTTCTTTAGGTTTTGGCTGAAATGATAAAATTCTAATTTATGTGTTAATGCTTAGGTCTTTTTAAAAGTTAAAATTGTGTTCTATTATAAAGAACACAAAAATAGAATGAGTGCTAAAAAGCTTGTTGGCATTCTGGATGTGTGGGGAGAACTTCCAGATTGTTGGGGTTCCCTATAAAATGATGGTGTGGCCAGCTTGTGTTTTACTGGGGTCTCCTAAATGTCATTTTTTTTTTTGAGTTTTCCAAATTCCTGCTAAGAGATATAAACTTGGCTACTGACATTTTGGAGCTGGATTGTCAAAGTAGAAAGAACAGGCTGAATCTCACCATTCCGTATGATGACTTTTCAGTTATAACCTTCACTTGTACCTATCCATTTGCCTGGAATACCCAGGTTTAGAAATTGTTTTCGTTTGCCTATGAGTCTCTTGCAAAGATGGAGCAGGGTTAGTTTTCTGATTACATTGGCTATCAGGGAATAGAGTCCAGGAAAGTATAGTTAAGTGGACTTACAGAGGTCTTGCTACTCTTTTTCACAGACTTCCAGATAGTCTCCCACCTACCTGTTTCATACCTACCCTTCACAATGTCTGTTGCCTCCAGTTCTTGAAACATTCTGGGGTTATTTTGGCCTTGTTATTGCATCACATTACACCCCATTCCACTCTATTCCACAACATTCCACTCCATTCCACCACATTATATTCTGTTCCATTCCGTCAAAGAAGGCTCCATTCCCTTCCAAACCATGTTGCTTCTCTTTAGTATCTTCTGTGTGCAGGCTCTTAGGTTTGACCTTACTTTTCTATGCTGAATCATTTTCCATTCTTTCCAGCTGCTTTCTTTCTTTACATATGGCAGTTTGGATTATAGAAATTTTATGGTTTCATGGCAGATGAAGTCTGTCTTTGTTGTTTTCCTGGTTATTTTTTTGGATGATTTATAGATAAAAATAGGGTAGAGAGGTCTTTCTGCCATCTTGAATCTATAAGTCTTCAGCTTATCTTTATGAGTTTGTCTTTCACCTTTTCTTCACATGGACTCTATATTCTAGCAATCTGAATATTTTCAGTTTTCTGGATGAAACATGACTTGATCCTTTGTGTTCTTATATAATCTAGAATGATCATTTTCCTGTGTTTGCATAATTAAGTCCTACTTTTCTATCAAGACTCACTTCAGCATCTGAGAAAAATTAATTTTTTATGATATTCTCTGAGGCTGCTTTAGGTGTTCCTTCCTTGATTCCTATAACATTTTGTCCTATTACTAATAATATGAAAGTATATTTGTTTGTCTCCTGGTCTAGGCTATGAGTGTCTTGAAGCTGAGTTCCCTTATCTTTATATACTCAATCCTTTTTATGGTTTTTGGAATGGAAAAGCTTAATAATATTTATGGAATAAATGAGCCAGCAGATTTCATTATATTATCTTCTAAGTAATAACTTAAAATGCATATTACAGTATCAGGTATATTGTATTAGTTTGTTCATTCAGTCAATAAATGTTTATTATGCAAGCATGTACTAAATGCCAGGCACAACCAGCTGAAAAACATATAAACAAGTACCTAAAATAATCATAGGTGATGATAAATGCTAAGATGTCATATTTAATTTTTCATATCTGTAATGTATTATAAATGTAAGTGTGTATAATGTAATATAAATGTAAATATATATAAACATGTCATTTTAGGTATCACTGCTATTGAATCAAAGTTCTGAAAAAGAAAATAAAATGAAAGATTTAACATTTCTGCTAGAGGAATCCAGAGATAAAGTTAACCAATTAGAGGAAAAGACAAGTAAGAATTTATATAAGAAAATGTAGCAATGTGTTTTCTGTATTTCTTTTGTTATGATTTAAATTTTGGCTTTCATTATAATTTTGTTGTAATGCTTTCTAGTGCTGTAATTCACAACCTGGGCTGGACTAGTTTGAGGAAGGCATAGTAGAGTCACTTAGCTTTTTCAGAGTACATAATTTCCTCTTTTCCCTTTTACGTACCCTCACCTTCTTCAGAGTTTCAATGAAGTGCTCCATGAAAACAGGGATCTTCCTCTTTTTCTTGTTCACTATACATTCCAAGTGCCCAGAACACTGCCTGGTGCATATTAGTCATTCCATAATTTTTTTTTCCATGCATGAATGAATGCTCTGGGAGCAGTATGGAGGCATAGGGAAAAATTGTTGAATTAGACCTTAGGTGATTAAAGGTTCACTGGAGAGTGAATTGTGTGAGAGAGTGTAGGCAGAAGAAATGGCTTGTGCAAGTCATGGAAACGTGAAATAGTACATTTGCAACACTGATTGATGTGTCTGTATCTTAGAGAAACTTAAGTAGATAAGACTAGAAAAGAATGGATCAGATTATGAAGGGTCTTGAATGTCATGTTATGGTTAGACTGTCTTATTATTGAATATTTAAAAACTTGTTCAAGTAGCAAGGTACTTGGAAGACATAATACACTTTGCGAAACTCTATGCACCTTTCAGAACCTCATAGAGATCTTGTGGCTTTTGTTACTTTTCTCTTAAAAACATTCTTTCATCTCTGTATGGAAAACAGTTATCTAATTCCTGCAAACCTGTGCCTGTTCATTTCACCTTATGCCATTTTATATCCTATACTACAGATATTATGAAATTGTTTAACTTCCTCTACATTTTAAGTTCTTCCTGTTTCACCGTCATGCTTTTGGCTACTTACTTTATCCAAAATGAGCTTCCTACCTCTACTCCAAATTTGTTGGCTAAATTCTACAAATGGCCTAAACATTACTCATCTGTCTGCTGCGACTATGAGTGTCATGAGGGCAGGGACTGTGTTTTTAGCTTTGTAACTCTAGTGCCTAGTATATTGGTATGTAAATAATAGGGGTTAAATAGTTGTTAGAATGAGTGAATGAATATTTAATGTTATGTAAACTGGAAACAGCTTATTGATAATAACTATGTGGTTCTATAGACTGGTAACCACTGAAATGTATTTGTTTAAGTTACTTTTCGTTGTTTCCCATATGTATGTATCTGCCATCTGTTTCTCTTTGTTTCAGTTTGGAAGTCATCCATTGACATGTTACCTAATCCTGCCTTCTGCTATGTCTAACTTGCTTTTAAGCATCTTGATTGAATTCTTAACTTTGTATTTATCTTATTTTTTTCCTTCTGAAATTTATATTTCATTATTTTTTAATTTAAACTCTCTGATTTAAGTCTCATTTTTAAAAAATGACATTTTCATCTTTTTTGAATATATTAATCATTAATATTTTATAGCTATTCTCTTTTCACTCAAATCTGGCTCACTTGTTGCTTTGTGTCTACTGCTTCTTTTTAAAAAAATTGTGATAAAATACACATAACATAAAATTTACCCTCTTAACCGTTTTTAAACATATGGTTTAGTGACATTAGATAGGTTCACATTATTTTGCAACCATATCTCCAAAACTTCTTCATCTTGCAAAACAAAAACTGTACCCATTACTATAGTAATAACTCCCCATTACCTCCTCCCCCCAGCCCCTGGTAACCACTACTAATTTCTATTCTTAGAAACCACTATTTCTTCTTGGTGATTTGTTTTTATCTTTAGGTGACTAATTTTTGATTGAATTCTAGATGTTATAACAAAAATTAGAGGCTCTAGATGATGTTTTTTATTTGCTAGGGAGAAATTGGGACTGTGGTGGCCTAATAGTTTAATCCAATTAGAGGCTGAGCTGATTGAAGAGATTTAGCTAAGTATATGAGGTTTTCAAGTTTCCAAGTTTGTTTCTCTGGCTCTTTGAGACCCCTAAAACTGTGCTGTTTTTCTGTTCCAGAAAAACCCAGCAGCCCTCTGCTGTGGCCAAGCCAGTATCTACATCTTGTTCATGTCCAGAATCAGCAAATGTCAGCTGCATTTTTGTCAGTTCACTGCTCAACAGTTCTCTCTAAGGAATTTTAGCTGCTTTAGTTCTTTTTGTTTGGATTTGTTTCTGCTTTTCTCGTTTCAGCAAGTGTTGGTCTTTTACAAACTACTCCAGCCTGCCTAAAACTATCCATTTAAATTAATCATGATCAACTAATTTCTGCTTTTCTTTTTAATATTTCTTTGTATTATCTAATTTTTGTCACTTGCCAATACTTTTTGCTTGCTAAGAATATCTGTTATCAAAGATGTAAGAAAAAATTAGAGGCTCTAGATGATGTCTAGAAAATTCTGAATATTTAATTTTCTTTCTTACATATTAAGAATACTATACTTTTAGATAGGATTCTCTTTGGAGAGAGTTTGGGTATTTCCATGAGGCCACATATCAGTTACCCTTGATCAAAGCCCATTAGTTTCTTTCATTCTCATATTTATGTTGGTTTTTCTCCCTGTCCTAACCTCCTGTTATGGTTCTTTCCAAACTGTGTTTTGGAAACACTCCTCTTTCTATGTAGTATATAAAATTTCTTTCTTTCTTAACCTATTAATACCAGTTTTCTTTACTTTCTGTCTTTAACAAATTAGAAGTCTCCTGTACCTTTGCTGTCTTTTTGAATGGAAGCTGCACATTGTCCCACATTCCATGTACAATAGAGTTAGAAGGCAGTTAGAAATTTTCTTATGGCTCTGTATTGCCATTTTCAAACCATTACTCATACCTTTATCTATTCAACTTTTATCAATCTCCTTTCTGTTCAAAGCCAGGCAGAAAGCTAGTTACTGGGAATGCAGTTATTTATTATTTCATCCCTGCATTCTACAGGAGAATCACTGTCTGTTTCTAATACATCAAGTTTGATAAAGAATGGATATTGACTTATCAAATGCTTTTTTAGGCATATATTGAGATTATTTTATGATTTTCTCCTTTAATTTATTAGTGATTATTTTCTAATGTTAAACCTATTTTTTTTAATTTTGGTATCATTAATCTACAATTATATGAGCAACATTATGGTTACTAGACTCCCCCTATCATCAAGTCCCCACCACATACCCCATTACAGTCACTGTCCATCAGCATAGTAAGATGCTATAGAATCACTATTTGTCTTCTCTGTTTTGTACAGCCCTCCTCGTACCACCCCCTACATCATGTCTGCTAATTGTAATGCCCCTTTTTCCCCCTTGTCTCTCTCTTCCCACCCATCCTCTCCAGTCCCTTTCCCTTTTGGTAACTGTTAGTCCATTCTTGGGTTCTGTGAGTCTGCTGCTGTTTTGTTCCTTCAGTTTTTTCTTTGTTCTTATACTCCACATGTGAGTGAAATCATTTGATACTTGTCTTTTTCCACTTGGCTTATTTCACTGAGCATAATACCCTCTAGCTCCATCCATGTTGTTGCAAATGAATTTCTATTTTGAGTTTTTTGAGGAACCTCCATACTGCTTTCCACAATGGTTGAACTAATTTACATTCCCACCAGCAGTGTAGGAGGGTTCCCCAAACCTAATTTTTAATGTTTGACAACTTTTTATCCCTGATTATAAATCTACTTTTATTATTTTTATATATTGTTTTCATTCAATTTTACATATTGTTTAATTAAGGTTTTTTTAAGGACTTTTTATGTATCCATGTTCAGAAATTAGGTTGTTTTATAATATTTCTTTCCTTATCAGTTTTTAATATTAAGTATATATTTGCTTCAAAAATGAGTTTGGCAGAAATAGAGACACCGAGAAGTAACTGGTGGTTACCATGGGGGAGGGTTTGGAGTGCGTGGGTGAGATATGTGAAGGGGATAAATAGGCACAAAATTGCAATTCTGTATAAATCAGTCATGGGAATGAAAGTAGAAGATAGAGAATATAGCTAATAGTTCTGTAATAACATTCTATGTTGATGGATAGTAACTATGCTACTTGTCGGGAGCCTTTAATAATGTAGATTACTATTGAATCACTATGTTGTGTACTTGAAACCAGTGTAATATTGTATGTCAACTATCCAGTAAAGATAATGAGTTGGAAGTGTTTTCTCTCTGGTATATTCTGGAAGAGGGTAAGTATGATTTAGATTATTTCTTCCTTGAATGTTTGGTGGAGTTCATTGGTGGAGTAACCTGCTCCTAAATTTATTATTATTGCTTATTAATTTTGGGAGATGGTGATTTTTAAAATTCTGACTTATTCCTCTTAAGTGGGTTGGGAATATACAGGTTTTCTATATCTTCTGGTATCAGTTTGTTCCCTTATTTTTTTCCTAGGGGTTTTCACTTTTCCTCTAAGTTTTCTAAGTTTTCCTGTGTAAGTTTGTTTCTGGTTTCCCTTATTGTCTTTTTAATGCTTCAGTTTTGTAACTCTAATTTGATTTCATTACATTTATAATCTTATCATTTCCTACTTTCAACCTACTTTGTGTTTATTTTGCTGTTCTTTTTCTGACTTCAGATATATTTTTAGTTTAATTTTATGCTTATCATAATATATATATATATATATATACATTTAAGCCTATAATATTTTCTCTAAATACTGCATTACCTGTATTTTACACTTCTAATATATATTATTTATTGTTCAGTTTAAAGTATTTTCTTATTTCCTTTGGGATTTATTCTTTGACCATTAGGTTATTTGGAAATGTGCTTATTTTCCAAACATATGGTGTTTTTCTAATTGTTATTTAAAGAAGATTTATACTTTAATTGCATTGCATTTTCTATAGATGTTGGCTAGAATATTCCAAAAATATGTACTAAAGAAGTTTGTTAATCATGTTGCTCAAATTCTTTGAATTTTTGTTGATATTTTCGTCTGACTCTCAATTACTGAAGGCAACATTAAAATTTTATTGCTTGATGATTTTTAAGTTTATTCTTGTTTCTTTTGATTAGTGTTTATTTAGAGACTATGTTAGGTGCATACAGACTTTTAAATTTTATTATGTATCCTTGGTGAATTGAATCTTTTATCATTATGACATGATTCTACTCATCTTCATAATGCTATTTAACATATTTTTTTCTGATATTAATATAACTGTGAAGATTTATTTCACACTTCAGGCCTTTTGGATAAATACCCAGGAGTGTAATTGCTGGGTTTAATGGTTAATTGTGTGTTTCATTTCAAAAGATGCTGTCAAACAGTTTTCAGAGTGGCTGTATCATTTGATATTCCTACTGGCTGTGTGAGCCATTCTGTTTCTCTGCATCCTTGTGAGAATTTGATGCTGTCACTTTTATTTTAGGTGTTCTTATAGGTGTGTAGAGATATCTTTTGGTTTTAATTTGCATTTTCCTGATGGCTGGTGATCTCGAACTTCTTTTTAGTGCTCATTTGCCATCTGAATAATTTCTTCAGTGAACTATCTCTTCATGTATTTTGCCTATATTGTAATTGGATTGTTTTGCTTTTTTGTTGTTGAATTTTCTTCTACATAATAGTCCTTTGTCACAAATGTGGTTATATATGTGGCATATATTGTCATCCAGTCTGTAGTTTGTCTTTTTTTTTAAATTGAAGCATAGTTGATATACAATGGTATGTTGGTTTCAAATATACAACACAGTGGTTCAGTAGTTACCCATATTATTAAATCTTCACCCCCACTAGTGCAGTTACTGTCTGTCAATATAAGAAGATGTCACAGAATTATTGGCTGTATTCTCCATGTTGTACTACTATCCTGTGGCCAACTTATATTATGATTGAGAATTTGTTACCCTCTCCTACCCGTCCACCCCTCCCCCCTTCCCCATAGGAACCAGCGGTCACTTCTCAGTGTTTATTAGTCTATTCAGTTTCAATTTTATATATATCATTTCTAGAAACTTTATTTATATAAACTATAGACATCATCCTTTCTTCTTTTAGTTTTTTAAAAATAATACAATACTTATTTTTTAATATCCACAGCCAGTAATCCTAACATCTGAAATCTTTCTAAGTCCAAGTCTTCCTTTTGTTTATTCTGTCAACTCTTCTCTGGTGCTTTATTTGCCCTTGTGACTTTTGATTGTGAGGTCATGTGACTTCATCTGGGGAACTTCTTTAGGGCCTGTATTGGAAGTATATTTTTAGGGAAAATTCGTATTTGTGTTTCTGGGATCCTAGGGGATCTTAGGGAGACCTCCAATTAAGTTTTGTCTTGGAGCTTTTTAGAACATTCAGGGAGCATATGTTCAGTTTCCACACCTACTGAAGGACTGGTTTGTAATCATGGCTTCTCAGAGAAACCAGGAGTCATTATTACCAGTCTATAATAAATAGTGTCATAGTGGACACCACAGTCTTTGATTATCATTTTGCTCTCACCAGACCTTCTTTACTGTTTTAGTTATTTTTTCCTAGAGTTGGACCACTAACTCTTTCATTTCTACACAGATTTTCAGAATGGAATTAAAAAAAATTTATACCTGGAACATCATTCGGTTGCTTAACATCCTTCACTGTTTTTTATGATGTTCATGATTTAGGAAGTGTACATCTCTGAGCAAGTCATATAAATCCTGTTGTGATCTTGTCCTTATTATCTGCTATAATTCCTTCCTCATACTTTAAGTTTCATGCTATTGAAACACATTTCCTTAAGACCTCAGAATGTGTTATCCTATCTTTTCCATTTTTGCCTTTGTTCATGCTGTGTCACCTGTCTGTAGTGTTCTTTTCTTCCCCAACTCTCATTAGTCTAGTTACTTACTGGCTTTCAAATGTCTTAACTGTCATTTTCTGTAAGTTTTCTGTATGTCTGTATCCCCTTATATCTAACCCTTACTGATCCTATTTGGCTTAGGTGCCCCTTCTGTGATATTCCCAGAAATTCTGGTGATTGTCCATTAGCACTTGTTTGCCTGCTCAATTATATTTTAAGTACCATGACTTTCAAGGCACAGTTTCTAGCATTAACCAACATTATCATCATCATAATAGTATTTAATATTTACTGATTATATGCTAGGCACTGTATTAAAGATTTTAAGTTAAATTATCTTACTTCATCCTAACAGCAACCTTTCAAGATATGAATAACTATCATTCTCATTTTCCAGATGGGAAAAAGTGGAGCAAGACTGGTTCAGTGTCATGCCCAAGGCTAGGGAGCTAGTAAGAGGAAACAGAATAATTTGAATCCAGGGAAGAGCATGAACTTTTTTCCCCTACAATTTTTATGAGGTTTTAAAGTGAATGCACACACAAAAAGTGCATAGACTAGTACCTAGCACTTAGTATTTAGTAAATATTAGCTATTAAGTGGAGTCAAAAGCTCTTTTTTATAATATTTAAATAAATTATATTTTAGAAAAATTTAAAAATCAAGATAGGCAATAATGAAAATAAAATCATGAATAATTTCACCTTTAGGAGATAAATTACTTTTAATTTTCTGTATATTCTTTCACATGCATTATTTATATTAACTTGCCCTTTTTATTCTATGATATTTTATGACTATCCAAATTAGTAATCAATAAAAAAAGTCTGTATCATCATTTATAGGGGCTACATGATATACCATTATATGTAGGTATCACCATAATTTAGTCTATCTCCTGTCAGATATTTACATTTTGTTTCCAGTGTTTAGCTTTTATTAAAATGCAGCACCAAAAATATTTACCTTTGAGTACTTGGGAGATAACCATCTTAAAAAGTCAATAAAACTTGATGATGGCCAATATCAGTGACATCTGTATTTGCATAATTGTCCTTCATTTTGGAGTATCGGAAAAAAAGTAATTGCTAACAAATAATTTGTTTTCTTTGTATGTATTTTCTATTAAGTACTGTCTATCTACAACTTTCTCTTTTAGAATTACAGAATGAAAACTTAAAAGAATCAAATGAGAAACAGGATCATTTGACATCAGAGCTAGAAGATACTAAAATGTCTTTGCAAAGAAGTGTGGTATGATTTAAAAACTAATGTGTGATAAGTCTCACACAGTCAATCAACATATATTGAATGCTAGTACTATGCACAAGGATGGAGCTTCAAATAAAGAAGATACAATCCCAGTTTGCAAAATGCTTATAGTTTAATTAGAGATATTGGATTAAAAACATATAAAACATAACTAATATACAAGATCATGCTAGGTACCAACAGAGTGATTTAGGTAAAAATTGCTACAATAATTCTAAGAATTGAAAGAATACGATGGGCTGGAATGGCTAGGGGAGGTTGGGACTGTAGGTGGGGTTTGGAGGAATGGTGAATTGAAGTAAGAGTCGTGAGTTCCAGATTGGTCAGGGTGGGGCAAAGGAGAGAGGTAAGAGGGTAAGGAGGAAGGGAGGGGCAGCAAACTACAAAAGCAGATGAGTTCAGCTGTTTTTCTTAAGGCCCTTGGAACATAGCTTTTGCTTTGTATTTTATTTGATTTAGAATACTCAAAAGGCTCTAGAGGAAGATTTACAGATAGCAACAACAAAAATATATCAGCTTACTGGAGAAAAAGAAGCTCAAATGGAAGAATTTAATAGAGCTAAGTCTGCTCATTCACTTATGGTTACTGAATTTAAAACTACTGTATGCAACTTGAAGGAATTATTGACAACAGAACAGCAGAGGTAAAAAAATTTTTTATTTAGTTGAATTAAACAATTTACTTATAATATTCAGTGTCATTTTCTACTCATTGTCAATTGACTTTAATTCCCATAACAGCTGTAACCAAGTCTCTTTTTTGTGTATAAAGTAGGAATACATTTTAAAAGTTTGTACTGGATAGGCAGATGTCCTAGGAAAAGATAGTAGGTATTCTCTAGGATAGTTCCCATGCATGTTCCCATTGAGTCAAGCTGTAAAGAAAAGCTTATGAGTGCTGATGCAGTGTTATGGCATAATTAATTAAACTGCAGATTATTATTAGCTTCATAGAAATAACCTCTTATGCTGGTGCTTGTTTTACTAGAGTCTGTAATCTTTTTTCTGATTTATAAAATTAGCAACTAACCTGGTACAAAATAGGTGCTCAAACATTTTTATTATGTTAATGGGTTAATGAATATTATTAACTATAAAACTATAAATATTAAATATAAAATAAACTGTTCATTCACATTTTATCTAAATAGCAGTTTGTCTAAAACTTGAGTAGAAAAACTTGATCTGTTTTTCACTACTTTATATTAAGGAAATACTCATATAAAGCTGTGTTAAGAGACCTAGGCAATTATTTTTGTCTCACTAACATTAGGGTTAATTAAGTCTGGTAGGATGAAGAGAGGAACAGGCTTTGCTCTGAAGTCATCACGTGGGCCAAGCAGTATTTCTTCTCTACTACTGTGTGTGGTGAAGGAAGAAAAACTAGCTTTTCTATTTTTCTAGCTCAGCTGATCTTAAATATTTTTGATTGACCTATCTAGATGATTTTCAAATTTTAAAATTAAAAGTCTCTTTAGATGTCTATTCTAATTACCTCAGTTTTATAGACAAGCCAGAAAAGTTAAGCATATTGCACCAGTTTTCATACTTATATTGTACTTAAAGCAGAACTCAGTATAATAGCAGTTACATACTCAATCTCTTTGAAAGTTCTAGGATGCAATAATTTGGTTACCATCAGTAGCTAAGACATAAATTGTGACCATAAGCTTTAAGATTTTTTGTAGATGCAATTAATAAACCACTGTGTATTTATAATAGTAATTTTATTTTGAAATGTTATTTTATTTTGAAATATAAGCAAAAGATGTTTAATAATTGAATGAGTGAATCTGTGCTAAGATGTGTCATTGCTAAATTGCGCCAACTTTAGTTACAAGATGAATTATGATTAAAAGATTACATATTAAACTATTACATTTTACAAGATTGGAAAAACTTGAAGATCAATCGAAAATACTTGCCATGGAGCTTCAGAAGAAATCAAGTGAGCTGGGTAAGATTTAGAGAATAATGTGTGCATGATATTAGCCAATTGCAAAAGCATAAATGCTCTTTCAGAATAAAATACAGTTTCTCCTCTATCATTTGCCAATAGTGATTATTAGGTAATTTTTAATTTTATTTTTCAAGATAGAAAATCTAAACTTTAAGAAATACTATTCCGTTCCATTATGCAGTTCAGAGCTGTCATAGAAGTTTAGGAACCTAAGAGATGTTTGTAGGCTACTTTCCTTATTTTAGGATTCAGAGCCTTTAATAATTCTTATTGGGAAATGTCTGTTATTTTAACTGAATTTTGAAATTTCATGGTTAGTCTTGTTGGATTATGAACTATTAATTTAAAAAAATGCAATCCTCTTTTATCAAACAGTATTGTTAATATTCAGCAACTTTTAAGGCCAAAAGAGAGAGAAGTTCTGCATTTTCTTTGTAAATTTATGAACTTTTAGTCAGCTAATTCCAATAACTTTATGGTTCATATTTACAATCTTCATATCTATAGATGTGGAGAATTTTAAAGATAAAAAAACATGCTTTTTCCAATTGGTGAAATGAATTATTTTTATAAATTAAAATAACTTATGAATTAGAAGTTATTTTTCTAGAATATCTCCATAACTTTCTGTAAGCTTTATTATTAGCTTTGAATACTCATATAAAAAAATTGTAATTTTGCCTTGTTAGGATGTTTGCTTAAATCCTATATGTCTTTCCTTTGGCAATACTTAATTTTCCACTAGAGACTAGACTAATCTCATCTAAAATTGTTCTATCCAATGGTAAATAATTTTATTTTTTAGCATTATTTTATATTAAAATGGTTTGTAAATGCATTTTTCATCCAGTTTTTAAATCTTCCTTAAGAGCATTCATACTGTTTTAAATCACTGCCAATGTCTACTTTCTTTAGAATTATTCAACTGAATGTTGTAGACTAAAGAATAATTTTAGTCTTTAAAATATCTTTGATGGATATTTATTTGTAACAGTTCAGTCTAATATTGAAAATAAGTGGCTGTTATAGTGGAAAATCAGATGTATAATGTGATTTTTCTCATAATAGAGCAATATATTAAAAGAAGTTTGGATAAGGAATTATAGAACTGTGAAAAAGTTTTGTGTGTATTTCTTAGCATTATTTTAGATGGGTGTTGTGGGAACATGTACAAAAGTAAAATAGCATACTCTTGAGAAATCTCTAATTATTGTGAAAGAAAGGTTGAACACATAAAATCATTACAGCAGAGTTTCCAAAATGAGGGTGTGAACAAGAATTCTACTAGCATAAGGGGAGGAAATATTAAGACTTCTATTTCTATTTTTATGTTTTACAAATGTTTTGTAATGAATAATATAACACACATTTGTATTTTACAATCTATATAAAATATAAATATGTATTTGCATTTTGTATATAATTATCTGTTTGGGGGTTAATACTTACAGATTTCTTACTGATGCCACTGTGTTAATGCTGATGATAACAGGAAGCCGCAGGTAGCAGTGTGGACTGGAGAGTTGGAAAGGCTTTATAGGTTAGGTAGATTTTAAATATAGAGAGGCTTTAGGTAGTTATAGAGAATGATGGAGTGTGGAAAGCATTGTGTGTAGAAGAATAGCATTAACAGTGATGTTAATATGATTGAGCCTTGATCAATATGCATTTGAACTGTATAGGTCCACTTATACATGGAGTTTTTTTAGCAAATATATTGGAAAAAATTTTTAAGGTTTTTGTTGAAATATTATTGATATACAATCTTATGTTGGTTTCAAATGTACAGCACAGTGGTTCAACAGTTACCCATATTATTGAAGCCTCTAATGTGGTTACTGTCTATCAGTGTAGAAAGAAGTTACAGTCATTGACTATGTTCTTCATGTTGTACTTCTGTCCCTGTGACTGTCTTATAGGATGATTGAGAATTTTTGTGCCCATTTATCCCCTTCCCCCACCTGCTGCACCAGCCCTTTCCCTTTGGTAACCACTAGTCACTTCTCAGTGTCTTAAGTCCACTGCTGTTTTGTTTCTTCATTTTTTGCTTTGTTTTTATATGCCACAAATAAGTGAAATCATATGGTATTTGTGTTTATCTGCCTGGCTTATTTCACTGAGCATAATACCCCCTACATCCATCCATGTTGTTGCAAATGGCAGGATTTATTTTCATTTTATGGCTGAATAATAATCCATTGTGTATATGTACCACCTGTTCTTTATCCATTCATCTGTGGATGGATACTTTGTTTGCTTACATATTTTGGCTATTGCAAGTAGTGTGGTGATAAACATAGGGGTGCAAATATCTTTTCAAATCAGGGATTTTGCTTTCTTCAGGTAAATTTCTAGCCATGGAATTACTGGATCAAATGGAATTTCTTGCATTCCTGGAAGAAATACCACTTGGTCATGATGGATGATCATTTTTATGTATTTTTGAATTTGGTTTGCTAATATTTCGTTGAGCATTTTTACATCTATGTTCATCAGTGGATATTGGTCTATAATTTTCTTTCTTTGTAGTGTCTTTGTCTGGTTTTGGTATTATAGTGATGCTGGTCTCATAGAATAAGTTTGGAAGTATTCCCTCCTCTTCTACTTTCTGGAATACATTAAGAAGGATGGGTATTAGCTCTTCTTTAAATGTTTGTTAGAATTTAATTGTGAAGCCATCTGGTCCTGGAATTTTGTGTTTTGGGAGTTTTTTGATTACCAATTCAATTTCATTGCTGGTGAGTGGTCTGTTCATATTTTCTGTTTTTTCCTAGGTCAGTCTTGGAAGATTGTATTTTTTTAGGAATTTGTCCATTTCTTCTAGGTTGTCCAACATTGGCAAATAATTTTTCATAGTATTCTCTAATAATTCTTTGTATTTCTGTGGTGTCCATTGTGACTATTCCTTCTTTGTTTCTGATTTTGTTTATCTTTGTACTCTCTTTTTTTCTTGATCAATCTGGCTACAGGTTTATCTATTTTGTTTATTTTCTTAAAGAGCCAGCTCTTGGTTTCATCGATATTTTTTTTCCTATTGTTTTGCTCTTCTCTATGCTCTGATCTTATTATGTCCCTCCTTTTAACTTTGGGATTCATTCACTTCTTTTTCTAGTTTCTTTAAATGTGAATTTAGACTGTTTATTTGAGATTGTTATTTTCCTGAGGTAGGACTGTGTGCTATTTACTTTCCTCCTAGAACTGCTTTTGAAGCATCCCACAGATTTTGGGCTGTTGAATTTTTGTTTTTATCTGTCTCCATGTATTTATTGCTTGATATGTGTTTTAATTTGTTCATTGATACGTGTTTTAATTTCTTCATTGATCCATTGATTATTTGGAACCATGTTGTTTAAGTCTCCATGTGTTTGTAGGCTTTTTGTTTTCTTTGTGTAACTTATTTCTAGTTTCATACCATTGTTGTCTGAGAATCTGCTTGATACAGTTTCACTCTTTTTGAACTTATTGTGGTTCTTTTTGTGGCCGAGTATGTGATCTTTTCTGGAGAACATTCCATCTATACTTGAGGAAAATGTGTATCCTTCTTGTTTTGGGTGGAATGTTCTGTAGATACCTGTTAAGTCGATCGGATCTAATGTGTTGTTCAGTGCCTTTGCTTCCTTATTTATTTTCTGTCAGGTTGATTTGTCTGTTGATGTGAATAGTGTGTTAAAGTCTCCTACAATGAATGTGTTGCAATCTATTTCCTCATTTACTTCTTTCAGTATTTGTTTTACATATTTAGGTGCTCCTATGTTGGGTGCAAAGATATTTATAATGGTTATATCCTTTTGTTGGACTGATACCTTTATCATTATGTAATGTCCTTCTTTGTCTCTTGTTACTTTTTTTGTTCTAAAATCAATTTTATATGATAAAAGTATTGCTATTTTTGCTTTTTTCTCCCTATTATTTGCATGGAATATCTTTTTCCATCCCTTTACTTGTAGTGTGTGTGTCTTTGGGTCTGAAATGAGTCTGTTGTAGGCAGCATATAAATGGGTCTTGTTTCTTTATCCATTCTGCCACTCTGTGTTGTTTGACTAGTGCATTCAGTCCATTTCCATTTAAGGTAATTATTGATTTGTACTTTTTGCCATTTATTAGTTGTTTTCTGGTTGTTTTTATAGCTCCTCTCTGTTCCTTTCTTCCTCTCTTATACTCTTCTCTTTTTATTTGATGATTTTCTTTAGTGTTGTGATTAGATTTCTTAAAAATATTTTTTTGTGTCTGTTGTAGGCTTTGTTTTGTGGTTACCAAAGGTTCAAGAATAGCTTCTTTACTATATAACAGTCTATATTAAGTTGCTGATTGCTCTATTTAAAACACAGTCTAAAGGTAGTTTGTTTTCTTCTTTCTCTACACTTTATGTATTAGATGTCATTATCTGCACTTTTTCTGTATACCTTGACTGATTTTGCATATAGTTGATTTTGCTTCTTTTGTTTTAATTCCTAACTTGTACAATTAATTTGTCTATTACATTTACTGTGGCTTGATTTTCCTTTTTATTAAGGTATCATTGATACACACTTATATGAAGGTTTCACATGGAAAACATTGTGGTTACTACATTCACCCATATTATCAAGTACCCCCCAATACCCAATTGAAGTCACTGTCCATCAGTGTAGTAAAATGCATTTACTCTGGGTTCATTTTCAATTGTGAAAGCTATTTAGCCTGAGGAACATTTCCATCTATAGAAGTTTCATTAATATATACTGTAAGGCTGGTTTAGTGGTGGTGAATTCCTTCAACTTTTGTTTATCTGGAAATTGTTTAATCCTTGCTTCAAATTTAAATGATAATCTTGGTAGGTAGAGGATTCTTTGTTGGATATCCTTCTATTTCAGTACATTAAATATTTCATGATACTTTTTCTGGCATATAAAGTTTCTGCTGAGAAGTCTGCTGATAGCCTAATGGAGCTTCCTTTATAAGTAATCTTTTTTTTTTCTCTCTGACTGCTTTCAGTACTCTCTCCATACCCTTGATCT